CGGGGACAGAGAGAGACAGAGCATGAACGGGGGAGGGGCAGAGAGAGAGGGAGACACAGAATCGGAAACAGGCTCCAGGCTCTGAGCCATCAGCCCAGAGCCCGACGCGGGGCTCGAACTCACGGACCGCGAGATAGTGACCTGGCTGAAGTCGGACGCTTAACCGACTGCGCCACCCAGGCGCCCCAGGAACTGTGTCTTTAAACTACTGAGAGGAGAGGATTCCACGAAATGGTTATCAACAGTGTAGAGATACTAAAAAGGAGAAGAATTTTTAAAAAAGTCATTGGTTTGGCAGAAAAAAAGAGGCTTCAGATAATCTTTAACATTAAAGTTTAGTAGAATGGCAATAAAAGAAGCCAGATTGCAAGGAACTAAGAAGGAAATTAATACATTGAAAGAGAAAGAAGAAAGAGCAAGTATCTGGTAATGATGAAAGAAAGAGCAGATGAATATTTGAAGGGACAGCAAGTCACATAAAGTATTTAAATTTTTCCTTTTTAAGTTTTAATTTAATTTAATTTTATTTTAAGTAATCTCTACACCCAACGTGGGGCTCAAATCCATGATCCCAAGATCAAGAGTCACATGCTCCTCCAACTGAGCCAGCCAGGCACCTCTAGATTTTTCTCTTTAAGACAAGAAGAAATGAACATAGTTTAAGTGGGGACAAAAGAAGTTAATGGATAGAAAGGTAATGAAGAGAAAGATTTCACAAGTATTAAAATGGGGAAGAAAAAACAGATGGCATTCAGATTATAGTTAGGTATAGCTAGTTTTAGAGTAATAGAGACAAACTCTACATCCAAGACTAAAGAATAGTGATATTTTGAGCCTAACATGAGCCTCAATTTTGTCCACGTAACAGAGTGTGACACTAAAACAAAGAGGAAATACCAGGGTGTGAAGGAGGAAAAGGGATGGATTAAGCGTCCCTTGGATGGATGGAACATTTACAGGGCCCCTGCAGAACAAATAACTAATGGGGCAACTACGTGGATAGAACTAGAGGGTGTTATGCTAAGTGAAATTAGTCGGAGAAAGACAAATATCATATGACTTCACTCATATGAGGACTTTAAGACACAAAACAGGTGAACATAAGGGAGGGGAAGCAAAAATAACATATAAACTGGGAGGGGTGGGTGTCTGGGTGGCTCAGTCGGTTGAGTGTCCTACTTCAGCCCAGGTCATGATCTCATGCTCTTGAGTTCGAGCCCCGCGTCTGGCTCTATGCTGACAGCTCAGAGCCTGGAGCCTGCTTTGGATTCTCTGTCTCCCTCTCTCTCTGCCCCTCACCTGCTTGCGCTCTGTCTCTCTCTCTCAAAAATAAATAAACATGAAAAAAAGTAAAAATAAAATAAAATAAAAACAGGAGGGGGACAAAAACATAAGAGATTTTTAAATATGGAGAATAAACAGAGGGTTGCTGAAGGGGTTGTGGGAGGGGGGATGGGCTAAATGGGTAAGGGGCAGTAAGGAATCTACTCCTGAAATCATTGTTGCACCATATGCTAACTAACTTGGATGTAAATAAAAATAAATTATTAATAAAAAATAACTAATGGGGCATATAATACTAGAAACATTTATATACTAACTACAGACGTAAAAATAGATATTGTTTAACACTTAATGCCTAATGTGTACAGCATTATCCAGAATATACACCCACTGATGCTCTCTGAAAATATACAAAACGTTTACCTTACTCAGAAAAGTTAAACTCATAGATGGTATTAATTGTGACAAAAACAGAATAATAAAGTAATTTAAAAAATGTTAGCTATGGTGATTCAGATAATGAATACTGGAAGCACCGGCTAATGCAGATAAGAGGTATTAATTTGAATGTTTTATGATATTCCAGATTGTTACTTCTCTAATGGAAATGAAGTGTTTTTTTTTAATGTTTATTTATTTAAAAAAAAATTTTTTTTTTTAACGTTTATTTTTGAGACAGAGAGAGACAGAGCATGAACGGGGGAGGGTCAGAGAGAGAGGGAGACACAGAATCTGAAACAGGCTCCAGGCTCTGAGCGGTCAGCACAGAGCCCGACGCAGGGCTCGAACTCACGGACCGTGAGATCATGACCTGAGCCGAAGTCGGCTGCTCAACCGACTGAGCCACCCAGGCGCCCCAATGTTTATTTATTTTTAAGAGAGAAAGTGAGAGTGTGCGTGTGTGCAGGCAACAGAAAGGAGACAGGATCTGAAGCAGGCTCCACACTGACAGCAGAGAGCCTGATGTGGGGCTCAAACTCATGAACCACGAGATCATGACCTGAGCTGAAGTCAGATGCTTAACCGACTGAGCCACCAGGTGATCCTAAAGGCAATGAAGTTTAAATCACACAGGCAGAATTATTATAAAGTCTAGTTAACTAATATCACATAAAGTTTTAATTACAAAATAACTGTATAAAAAATATTTACCTGAGCATCTATACTTTAACATTTTAGAATGACTGTCAGTTGCTAGAAAAGTGATGACTTCTTTATCTATTATATCTGAACATAATGTAAATGGATCTGGAAAAAAATTGCAATATTTAAGTTTCTTTTGATTAATGAAAAGGACCTGACATTTACATGATATATTAATTCTCAAGATTTTCATAAACTTTAGTACAGTACTACATATTCAGTCATCTTGTTGGATAAACAGAAAGGTTCTGGATGTCAATAACAGGTGATTAAAGTATTTACACCAGAAAGGAGTCAAAAGTGTGGCTTATATGTTAGAGGGCAAATATACCAATTACATTTTTAGCTGTATTAGTCACCTAAATATGTTTTCTTAAAAAATCAAAGAAGAAATATTTTTAATCATACCTGTTACTGGTAACTCCTGCTTTCTATTTTTGACAACAGGCATTGGAGGTTTAAAAACATGGTCACTAAAAGAAAACAGACACCAGAAATTAAAAGTAAACATACTGCTCAGTGTGTGCACAAATGTTTCTGTAAGCAGTGGTGTGATTCTGGGTGTTTGGCAGGCAGGAGATGGAACCAGGATCTACCAAAGTCTATCAAATTCTGCCAAAGTAGCGTTTGTAATGGTTATAGCCTCCTTTCTAAAAGTGGAGTTAAATAAGATTCCAAAAGGCAATAATACTGATGCCAACAGAAACACAGGGAAAAAGTTATAAAAGAGAAAAACATAGGGTGCCTGTCTGGCTCAGTTGGAAGAACATGCGACTCTTGATCTTGGGGTCACGGGTTCGAGCCCCATGTTGGGTGGAGAGATTACTTAAATAAACAAGCAAACAAATGTAAAAAAAAAAAAAAAAAAAAAGGAGAGAACAAAAGCAATGGGACAGAAAGCAAGAGAGCTGGCCCAAGGGCATATTTCCATGCTTTCCAATTCCACATCCCTGAGAAATCAGGTTAAAATTAACATCAAGAATGGTTTTATAAAGGAAAAAAAGGAGTGGTGATGATGTAATCCATCTCCCTAATATTCCGTTTACATTGCAACCTTCCCAGAATATAGCAGCAATACTCTTCAGTTTCCCTACTAGCACAGTATCCATCAGAGGAGAGAACACAAGTAAATTTTTAAGAAAAGCTACATCTCAGGTCCAGCCCCACAGGCTATCTGAGGAAGCAAGGTCATGAACTGGAGGTGAGGTGAAAGGAACAAATGAAAAGGTAATCCTGAGCCATATTTTCATCACACACTACTCCTTTTTATCAAATTAAATTTACAAACTGGTTTTTGCTACATTGCCGATGGATTATTAATGCATGTGTTGTTACTTCAGGTATAGGGTTTCAGGTTAAGTTCTCTGAGTATCCTTTCTAAAACGCAAATCTGATGTCACACAATTTAAAATTGTCAATGGCTCCCTACGCCCTATGAGTGAAAACCAAAAATCCTGACTGTGACATGCAAGGCCCTAGATGAACTGGCCCATACCTCCCCATTCAAACTCCATTCCCAACATTTCCATTTAGGCTCCTCCCAAGACCATTTTTTATCATTTCTATATCCCAGGGCTTAATAACATAGTACTACAAAAAAAAAATACTTGAATAAATAAAGTTAGAAACAATTATTAAACTATACCTTGACTGAGAAACAGAATTCTTTTTTTCAAAATTTGTTCTTTCATGTAAGTTTTGACTATAGCTTGAATCGGCTTTATATAAAGTTTTATTTTGTCCACTCTCCCTATAACAAGCATCAACTGGATTTGTACTCTTTAACAGGGTCTTCATTTGGTGATCATTTGTACATGCTGTAGTTAGAATTCCATGGGATTTACAACTCGGAAGCTTTCTAGACTGGCTTTTATCCTTATCTTCTGCTTCAGGGCCTCTGCCAATACTATCTCCATGGAGGTGTTTCAATGTATTTTGAATATTTATGTTCATAGATGAAACATTATCCTTGTATTTTTCTCTTTGTATTTTTTCCTATAATGTAAAAATGACAAGTAAATAATTTCAAGATAACCCATTTGTTTTATAATCCAATTTATACTTTCTTTAAATAATATAGGAAAAGTTCATGATTGTCAACAGAATATACATAATAAAAGGGACAGTTTACATTAACAGGAAAGGGGAATTTATTTAGTAAATGAACTGGGGACAACTGGGTAGCCATCTGGGGAAAAATAAATTGGATCCATATCTCACAATTTACACAAAAACAAAGTCAAAATGAGGGGAGCCTGGTGGCTCAGTAGGGTAAGCATTCAACTCTTGATTTTGGCTCAGGTTATGATCTCACAGTTCGTGAGTTTGAGCCCCATATCAGACTCTGTGCTGACGGTGTGAAGCCTGCTTGGGATTCTCTCTCTCCCTCTCTCTCTGTCCTTACCCATTCATGCTCTCTCTCTCAAAATAAATAAACTTAAAAAAAGTCAAAATGAGCTAAATATTGATATATAAAAAACTGAACTTGTGTGTATATATATGTATATACACACACATATGTGTGTGTGTGCATGTGTGTTTTTTTTTTAATGTTTATTTTTGAACTAGAGACGGCGTGAGTGGGGAAGAGACAGAGAGAGACAGAAGATCCGAAGTGGGCTCTGCACTGACAGTAGAGAGCCCAATGTGGGAATCAAATTCATGAACCACAAGGTCATGACCTGAGCTGAAGTCAGACACTTAACTGACTCAGCCACCCAGGTGCCCCAGAAATTGTATATATTTTAAAAGAAGACATAATATTTTAACATTCCTGAGGGGAAGAAGGCCTTTCTAAATATCACACAGAATCAATAAATCATGAAGAAAAAAAACTAATATAGTTGACCCCCTGAAAAATCTTTTTCAAAGCTCTACTATAGACCAAGAATAATATGGGTGGCTGGGGCGGTTGTGGGGAGGGTGGACTCAGAAGAAAAAAAGGTCAGAAGCAAACCAAATGATTATCAAAACATCTAGAAAGAATATGTATAAGTCATGTCTTGGGGTATGATTTTTCTATCAACATTTATGAAAAGCTACTATAATGAAATATGAAGAAGATCAACAATAGTATAGAAAAATAGGAAAAGGAGATGAACAGTTAATGGGAAAGGAAACATAAATAGCTCCTAAACTTATGCAAAAATGCCCATCCCACATGCAATAAGAGAAATGCACAATAAAGCTACACTGAGACAGCATTCATCTAGGACACTGGCAAAAATTGAAAGGGTATACACTCTCATAACTTACAGGTGAGAGCATAAATTGCACAACTTCTATGGAGAAACAATTTGACAGGATTGTTCATAATAAAACTTGCACATCTTTACAAAAAAATCCTATAGATAGGGGAACCTTGGTGGTTCAGTTTGTTAAGCGTCTGACTCTTAATTTTGGATCAGGTCATGAGCTCACAGTTCATGGAATCAAGCTCTGTGTCAGGCTCTTGCTGACAGCAAGGAGCCTGCTTGGGATTCTCTCTCTCCCTCCCTCTCTCTGCCCTTCCCCTGCTCACACATATACACACACATGGCTGGGAATGGAGAATGCAAGGAAATACCTAAAGGGTACAGAGTTCCTTTCTGAGATGATAAAAATATTGTAAATGACTATAGTTGCACATACTGTAAATATACTAAACACTACTGAATTGTACACTTTAAATGGGCAAATGGTATGGTGTGTGAATAACATCTCAATAAAGCTTTTTTAAAAAAGATGAAATACTAATATAAACATGTATAAACCTTGAAAACATTATTCTAAATGAAAGAAGCCAGTCACAAAAGACCATGTGCTCTATGATTCAATTTATATAAAAAGTACAGAATAGGCAAATATATAGACACAGAAAATAGTGGTTGCCTAGGCTGGGAAGGTGGGAAGAATGGATGGGGAAATAGGGAGGGTGACTGCTAAAAGGTATGGGGTTTTTTTGGGGGCGTGATAAAAATGTTCTAAGATTGATTGTGGTAATGATTGCACAATTCTGTGGGTATACTAAAAGCCAATGAAATGTACACTTCAAACAAGTCAACTGTATGGAATGTGATTTACATCTTAGTAAGGTGGTTACAAATATATATATTTACCACCTGGGTGGCTCAGTCGCTTAAGCGTCTCTTAATTTCAGCTCAGGTCATAATTTCATGGTTCATGAGTTCGAGCTCTACATTGGGCTCTGCAGTGACAGCATGGAGCCTGCTTGGAATTGTCTCCTTCTCTCTCTGCCCCTACACTGCTCGCTCTCTCTCAAAAGAAATAAAAATAAACAAAAAAAATTTTAGTGTTTTATTTATTTTTGAGAGAGAGACACACACATAGCATGAGCAGAAGAGGGGCAGAGAGAGAGGGAGACACACAGTCCAAAGTAGGCTCCATCCAGGCTCTGAGCTGTCAGCACAGAGCCTGATGCAGGGCTCAAACTCACGAACCACAAGATCATGACCTTAGCCAAAGTTGGACACTCAATCAAATGAGCCACCCAGGCTCTCCAATAAAAATAAACTTAACAACAACAAAATATATTATATATATATTTTATTATATATATATTTATATGTGTTTATATATATTTTATATATATATATAAAAAATATATGGTAGCAAGACATTTACTCTAGAGTTGTTTACACTTGTGAGAGATTGAATATAATCTAAATGTCTCTCAATTAAGTACTAGTTAAATAAATTTATAATAATCTTTAATATTGAATACTACTCAGTCATTTAAAAGAATGAAATTACTATACTATTATACTAAGTTGAGCACTATGCTTTTATTTTTAAAAATACATGCACAAAGGAGCACCTGGGTGGTTCAGTTGGTTGAGCATCCAACTTCAGCTCAGGTCATGATCTCCTGGCTCGTGAGTTTGAGCCCTGCATGGAGCTCTCTGCTATCAGCACAGAGTCCACTTCGGATCCTCTGTCCCCCATTTTCTCTGTACCCCTCCTGCTTGTTCTCTCTCTCTCTCTCAAAAATAAATAAACATTTAAAAAAAATTTTGAGAGACACAGCATGAGTGAGCGAGGGGTAGAGAGAGAGAGAGGGAAGAGAATCTTACGAGGTGCAGAGAGAGAGGGAGAGAGACTGCAGAGCCCAAAGCAGGGCTTGAGCTCACACATGTGGGACTAGAACTCAAAAACCAAAAGATCATGACCTGAGACAAAGACGGGTGCTCAACCGACTGAACCACCCAGGCGCCCCATCAAAAATAAACATTTTTTAAAAGTACACACACACAAAGACACAAATTGTACATACATTAAAAAATATAGAAACATGTATATGTGTGTATATATACATACATACATATACATATATAAGAGAGAGAGATTACTTCTCCATCCTTTCTCTTTCTTGAACCCTTATTATACAGATGTTAGATCTCTATCTTCCGTGTCTCTTATTTTTTCAGTCATCATTTCCATTTCTTAAAAATCTTTTCTTTCTGTGCTCAAAGATGGTTACTCAAGTATCACTACTTAATTTTGAATTTAAAACCAATAAAACTTAAAAAATAACTTAGCAGGAAAAATATTTTACCCTCTAACCTCTACTGAAAAAACAAAACAAAAAACCTTGAAAAAAGTTCTATATTCTTTGAAACAAAAAAACCCCACCTCATTTCCTTCTCTTTCAAGCTGTTCTATTCTGTGTAGAATTTCCTTTGCTTTCTTCCAGTACTCTTCAAGATTCTTCTCTTTCATATTTATGTCTTCTAATTGTTTTTCATTCTCATCAAAAGAATATTCTCCTAGACTTGGACATAATTTTTCAGCTTCATAATATGGGAAAAAATAGTTAATTTATCCATTACTGGAAATGTTTTTTTTACACTTTAAATGTAATTTTAACACTAAATACAGACAACCTCATGCCCCACACCCCCTTCTCTAAATTTGGCCCATCTAGACTAAATTAACTGTCTAAATGGTATAGAAAATAAACACAAAGCCAGTGCTAGGCAGAGGCCCAAGCCCCAGTCATAAATTAGACTTTAATCTGCAGACTTATAGGAGAAAGAGTATCATGAAAATATGTTATGCCAGATACATGAACACCCTCAGGTATATGGATACTGGTTTTAAAGTAGTTTTTTTTCAACAGCTTTCATAGAGTGGTTCCTTCCTATAATCTTTTAAGTTTTCTTTTTGCATTTTGCAGCAGCAATTTTTCTTCCATGAAGACTAATTCAATGGCCATTAATCCTTCAATGCATGCTCCCTCCTGGCACAGGGTCTTTGTGCCTCACTGTTGCTCATACCTGAGACATTTGCCATAACAAATTCCCTTCTTTTCACCTAGTTAATGCTATATATTCAGATCTCAGCTCAAGAATCACTTCTTCCAAAGCCTTTTCTGCTCCAAGTCTAAAACACAGTCTTTTGTTCTATGCTCTCTAAGCTCTATTGCTCCATCCATTCCTAGCCCTTAGGTTAATATATAACAATTCATTCATTTTTGAGATTATTAATGACTACCTGTTTATCTAGTTAAACTAAGCTCTATGAGTGCAGACTGTTGTTTCTTAATCATTGTATCCCTAAAACCTAGCAGAGTGCCTGGCAAATAAAAGGCACTCAGTTTTTAAAATAAATGAAATGTACTTTATAATTTAACCATAAGTCACCTGTAGACCTCAAGTTTAAGTCCTACAACTAAATTTGTCCACAATGCATAAAATAAGTAAATTCTCTATATTGTTGCTCTCTTCCAGATAGATTTTTAATATGATGAAACACTCTAGTCATGTCCAAATCATATACTCTGCTTTTCAAATGTAAGAAGAGCCTGGGGACCTTAAGGGGTTTGGCTCATTCAGCAGATACAAATTCCCTTTCATAAACTTTGATATTTTTTTAAAGTAACAATATACTTACTAATTTTTTTGCAATTGTGAAGCACAAAAGTGGCAGCTTTGTTTAGTTCCTCACTCTGTGATTCAGTTAAGGCTTGTATCATGAGTGGAAGCCCATTGTTTTTAAAAAGGTCATACTGATTTTCCTCTGGAAAATACATCAAAAATGAGAGTAGAAGATAGTAAATCCTAAGCAAGAGACAGCAAAGCAAGGAGAATGGAAAAGTGGAGCAGGGAGCAAAGAGGAGAGAAGAGATTGCAAGGAGAGAGAGCGAGGAATGTAGAAAGGGTTGAAAAAGAGGAAAATGGACAGAGAGAGAGCAGGAGAAGATTGGAAAGAGGGAGGAAAATGGAAGAGGAGGAGAAAAAAGAGTGATAAGTAGAGAAAGAAAGGACTTTCAAAGGTTTTCAGTAAGGGAGAACAGGATTGGATCTGTGCAGCAGTGTAAGAGTGGATTGAAAAATGGAGATACGAGAGAGGGAACACAAGGAGAAATCTATTCCAATAACATTGGTGAAAGATGTTGAGGGGCTAAGGGCCTAAATTGGAACTGGGCAGAAAGGGATAAGGAAGAATATGGATGAAGAAGGATGAAGAGCAAAATGACTAGCTTGGGGCCTGAATGACTTGGAGAAAGGCAGTACTTTTAAGCCTTTCACATGAAAATGAGGGAAAAAAAACAAAAGTGGATTTCCACTCCACTGTTCTAATAAGCACACTGAATAAATTTAATACTTACCACAATCCTCTGTGCAATGACCAAGAGTAAGTATGATGCTAAATTTTTCTCCTGAATCCAGACTTTCATGAAGCAGTAATGTCAGAAGTTTTGAAACAATCTGATACTTGGATAGTATTACTCCAAAAGTAGCTATTAGTATAAAATAGAGGGAAAAAAGTATAAACTTCAAACTCATAACTATATATATATATATATATATATATATATATATATATATTATATATATATATATATATATATACACTATATGTCAGATCTTATCCTGGGAGAATGATCTCATAACTATATAATATCTAATATTCATAGCTCATATAATATCTAATATGTATGTGTATGTGTATATAAATAAATACATTGTAATAATATGGTGACTTACATAGTCCTCATTAATCCCATTTCCCAAGATAGGGACAGTTTACTAAAGCCTATTTTATGAAGAATGGTTTCTTCTCAATTATCCTGCATAATGCTGTGAGTATGAAGTAATAATATTACCTCCCTAAAAGCTGAATATGCTTACTCTCACCTTATACACCTGTTCTTATCTAGATGGACTATAGACCTTCCTATGTAACTAACTCCTGCCCATAACTGAAATACATTATTAACTGCCATGGTTCTAATGTTAATGACACAGTGAAGCATCCCTGTAGCTGTCACAGTGAGATATAACAAAATTCAAGAAGCTGCCATTTTGTTATACTTCTCCTAACAGCATTTTTAACAGAGTTCACCCAGTGTCTAACAATACTGATATCAATAGTAAGGTTGTAAATTCTTCAAGGTACTAGGTCTTAATCATTTTTGTGTCTCTAGAGCTCACTAAGAGCCCAGCACATAGCAGGCCCTTAAAAGCTGATCTTTGGGAATGCAAGCTGGTGCAGCCACTCTGGAAAACAGTATGGAGTTTCCTCAAAAAAACTAAAAATAGAACTACCCTATGACCCAGCAATTGCACTACTAGGCATATATCCAAGGGATACAGGTGTGCTGTTTCAAAGGGACACATGCACCCCCATGTTTATAGCAGCACTATCAACAATAGCCAAAGTATGGGAAGAGCCCAATGTCCATCGATGGATGAATGGATAAAGAAAATGTGGTATATATGTACAATGGAGTATTACTTGGCAATCAAAAAGAATGAAATGTTGCCATTTGCAACTACGTGGATGGAACTGGAGGGCATCATGCTAAGTGAAATTAGTCAGAGAAAGACAAAAATCATATGATTTCACTCACATGAGGACTTTAAGAGACAAAACAGATGAACATAAGGGAAGGGAAACAAAAATAATATAAAAACAGGGAGGGGGACAAAACAGAAGAGACTCATAAATATGGAGAACAAACTGAGGGTTACTGGAGGGGTTGTGGGAGGGGGGATGGGCTAAATGGGTAAGGGGCATTAAGGAATCTACTCCTGAAATCATTGTGGCACTATATGCTAATTTGGATGTATATTTAAAAAAATAAAAAATAAAACAAGTCAAAATAAAAAAAATAATAACTGATTTTTTAAAAATCACCTACTTATTTTTCAGTTTTTTGTGAATGTTAAAAGCATTGGTTATTACGGAGATTTACAGACTATCATTCCTCAGTGTCTGTACATGTGAGAAGCAGCCATGGGTTCAAGTCTGAGTCTGCCACACACTAGTTATGGTTGGGTAAGTCAGACCTCATACTTATTAGAAAGAAGCATAACTTAATTCTTTATATAATTTTTAAAAACCTATAAATTGGGTTTTCCATTCCTTATGTTTCCCAAATGTCCATTTCTAACTTAAAGTTTTTAACTTAATATTGCTCTTTTGTTGAAACAAAGGTTTAGAAATAACAGAATCTTATCTTGATTCTATCATTAGACAAAGTCGGAAGTCCTAGTTTTGAACCCTTAGGGAAGTCATAACCTTCATGGGAAAACAAGGAGTTGGACTAGATAAGTTTTAAGATTCCTCCCACATGTGAGAAACTGGAAGTCCAAACCATGTTTGTGTTCCATCTACCATTTCAACACCTACCATGTTGAATTCAAACAAAACGCAATTATATAAAAATTACTAAGCATGTTTACTCACGATTATCAGCAATACACGCATCCACTGTCTTTGTCACCACCACTGCAAGCTTAGCACTGGAAACAGTCTTGTGTGAATCAGATTCCAGTTGCACAAGAACTTGAGACAATACATCCAGTCCACCCACAGATATAAAGTATTTCTGAACAAATGCTTAAGGAATAAAGTAGCAAGACTATTAATATCGCAAACAAGTGTATGGTTCCATTCAATTATTTTGCACTAAATATGACATTAACTTGACTTTTTCAAGTACTAAAAATCCCAAAATTAAAGAATGAAAAAATCTAATCTTTACCTTTAATCATAAAATAGGTCATTTACTTAAGTAAGAAATGCACTTTCACATGGAACAACTACACATACAGTACAGTGTTTCTCTTGTGTTAGATATCTTTCTTATTTAGCAAGAACTGGTATATCTTGCAAGAATGGCATTAGTAAACTCAAGTCCTTCAATAGAGCTATGAAGAATAGATTAATTCATTTAGTGTGATATTGCAATTAGCAAGCTGCCTATTTTCTGAATTCCAACTTAACTCATTCCTTAGATTGCTCGAATCTACAAAGGGCAAAGTAATTTAACTATTCCAAAAGAACACATATTTTATCCATCTTATTTAAGCCTAATTGTTTTAGTTCTTAGAACATAAAATTATAACATACTATTGAGAGTCATAACAACTATTCCAAGCAAAGACTCAGTGAAAAATACATTTTTGAAAAGTCGAAGTGTCTTGTTCCCCCTTTGAAAATGATTCTGATGGGAAAGTATCCCATGGGTCTGTGTATTCAACAGTCTCTACAGCCCCTATCCCAGCAGTGGGCTTATAACAAATGGATACATGGATTAATGATTATAATTCTGCCACGAACCTTCTTCCCAGTATACCCTAGTACTACAAATTGAGCCAAGATGATTTAAACAAAAAAATTACTTTTTGTATTGTTCAACAAAACACAAAGATCTTAATCTAAAAAAACATCATGGTCAGAATTTTCTACATTTGGGAAAGGAACTGTTAGGAAATGTTATCAAAGGATAAGCAAACATTTTCGATATTATGGAGACTCCAAAACAGGTTTCTTTACTGCAAAATATTTTCATTAAAAAAAAATTCTTGAAAAAAGAAGTATTTTTATTTTTATATTTATTTGTTTTATGGGGGGAGAAGGAGAGAGAATGCATGCATGAACAGGGAAGAGGCGGGGGGGAGGGGGGGGAGAAGAATCCCAAAGAGGATCTGCACCTGCAGCACAGACCTGACATGGGGCTCGAACCCACAAACCGTGAGATCATGACCTGAGCTGAAACCAAGAGTCAGACCCTTAACCAAATGAGTCACCCAAGTACCCCTAGGAAGTATTTTTAAATGCTTAAATGAAAATGGCACTGTATTACCATGATTTCTAGTTATGGCCCATGTAATAAAAATTTATAAACACAAGAACATCCTAGTCTACACTTGTATGCTGAATATTTCAAATTTCATCTTATATTTCATACCAGTTTGCTGACAGTAATGAGGTTCTAAAATTATTATTCATCCAAGTTGACTCTTAGATAAAAAGGAAATGTCAAAGCATCATGGAGAGAATCCAATTTTTGGAATTATAGAGCTAAGTTCCTTTGCATGTGAAACATGACTATTTGCTTTAAATGTGTGAATACAGAAATATACCAACAACATGTGAGAAAGTTCTAGTTGTTCCACAACCTCATCAACATTTAATATTACTAGCCTTTCCCCTTTCAGCCATTGCAGTGAGTGTGTAGTGGTATCCTTTGGGTTTTAGTTTGGATTTCTCCAATAACAATAATTCTGAATATCTTTTCAAACATTTTTTCAATGCTTATGTATAATTTAATATTCATATCTCTTTTGGTGACATATCTGACCAAATCTTGCCTCTTTTTTTTAATCATTAGGTTGTTTTTTTGTCCTACTGATTTGTAAGAATTCTCTATAGATCTTAGGTGTAAGTTCTTTACCAGGCGTACATTTCACAGATATTTTCTCCCAGTCTATGGCTTTCCTTTTCAGCTTTTAATTTCAGTGAAGTCCAAGTTATCATTTTCTCTTTAGTGGCTCATACTTTCTGTGTTCTAAGAAAGCTTTGTCTTCTCCCAAGTTATGAAGATTTGCTCCTGTTTTCGTCGAGAAGTTTTGAAGTTTTAGTTCTTACATTTAGGTCTATGGATCATTTCAGGTTCATTTTTGTATACAGTGTAAAATTAGGGTTGAGATTCATATTGTGTATGGATATCCACTCTTTCCAGCACCATTTGTTGAAAAGATTATCTTTTCCCACATGGAATTATTATGGCACCTTTGTAGAAAATCAACAACTATCTATGTATGGGTCTATATATGGGCTATTTTGCTGCATTGACCTAATATGTCTACACTTACATCAACGCCACACTTTCTTGATTACTGTATAATAAGTATTGAAATCAAGTTATATAAATCCCATAATTTTGACCTGTTTCAAAAAGTTTCGACTATCCTGGCCCTTTTACATTTCCATGTAAATTTTAGAATCAGCTTGTCCACCAATTTCTACAGCAATGCCTGCTGGTATTTTGAGGGGGAATGTCTTGAATCCAGAAATGAAATTCAGAAGTGACATTCTAATAATACTGAGCATTACAATCCATGAGTGTAGGGTATCTCCCATTAACCTAGGTTTTCTTTATCTCAGCAAAGTTTCATATTTTTAAGCATATAGACATTGCACAGATATCATTAAATTTATCCCTAGTTTTTTTGTTTGTTTGTTTGTTTGTTTTTTAAGTAGGCTTCACACCCAGCATGGAGTCCAACTTCAGGCTCGAACTCACAACGCTGAGATCAAGCCCTGAGCTAAGATCAAGACTCAGACGCTCAACTGACTGAGCCACCTTGCTACTATTTAGAAATACAGTTTATTTCTGTATGTGACCTTGGATCCTACAACCATGCTAAAATCATTTATTCATTCCTACAACTTTATTTTCGATTCTTCAGACAATCGTGTCAGCTATGAATAAACACTGTATTTTCTTCTTCCTTTTCAATCTCTATGCGTTTTTACTTTCCTGCCTTATTTCACTGGCTGAAATACCCAGGAAAATCTTAAACTAATGAGAGTGGCTATCATTTTTTTTCCAATCTTGGCAGAGTGGGGAAGGAGGAGGGGATTAAGTTTTTCACCATTAAATACGCTAGCTGTAGTGTTTTGTAGAGGCCCTTTATCACATTGAGAAGTTCTGTCTATTCCTAGTTTACCAAAAGTTTTTGTCATAAATACATACTGAACTATGTAAAAGCTTTTCTTGTATCTTTTTAGATCATCATATAGTTTTTCTTTTCTGTCATAGCCTGTGAAAATGGTGAATTTTCCAATGTTGAACCAATCTTGCATTCCTAGGATAAATGCCACTTGGTCATAATATATTACCTTTTCTATATGTTACTGGATTTAATATTTTTTATGTTAAAAGAATGTTTATTTATTTATTGAGAAAGACAGAGTGGCGGAGGGGCAGAGAGAGAGGGAGAGAGAGAAATCCCAAGCAGATTCTGCACTGCCAGTAAAGAGCATGATGCAGGACTTGACCTCACAAACCGTGAGATCACGATCTGAGCCAAAATCAAGAGGATGCTTAACCAACTGAGCTAACCAGGCACCCCAATGTTTTTTTAATTTTTTTATTTAAAAAATTATTTATTTATTAAATTTACATCCAAGTTAGTTAGCAGATAGTGCAACAGTGATTTCAGGAGTAGATTCCTTAATGCCCCTTACCCATTTGGCCCATCTCCCCCTCCCACAACCCCTCCGGTAACCCTGTTTGTTCTCCATATTTAAGAGTCACTTAGGCTTCATCCCCCCTCCCTGTTTTTATATTATTTTTGCTTCCCTTCCCCTATGTTCATCGGTTTTGTACCTTAAATTCCTCATATGAGTGAAGTCATATGATATTTGTCTTTCTCTAATTTCACTTAGCATAATACCCTTTAGTTCCATCCACGTAGGTGCAAATGGCAAGATTTCATTCATTTTGATTGCTGAGTAATACTCCATTGTATATATATATACCACATCTTTTTTATCCATGTGTCCATCAATGGACATTTGAGCTCTTTCCATACTTTGGCTATTGTTGATAATGCTGCTATCAACATTGGGGTGCATGTGCCCCTTCGAAAGAGCATACCTGTGTCCCTTGGATAAATACCTAGTAGTGCAATTGCTGCATCATAGGGTAGTTCTATTCTTAATTTTTTGAGAGACCTCCATACCATTTTCCAGAATGGCTGCACCAGTTTGCATCCCCAACAGCTGTGCAAAAGAGATCCTCTCTCTCTGCATCCTTGCCAATATCTGTGGTTGCCTGAGTTGTTAATGTTAGCCATTCTGACAGGTGTGAGGTGGTATCTCATTGTGGTTTTGATTTGTATCTCCCTGATGATGAATGATGTTGAGCATTTTTTCATGTGTCAGTTGGCCATGTGGATGTCTTCTTTGGAGAAGTGTCTATTCATGTCTTTTGTCCATTTCTTCACTGGATTATTTGTTTTTTGGGTGTTGAGTTTGGTAAGTTCTTTATAGATTTTGGACACTAACCCTTTATCTGATATGTCATTTGCAAATATCTTCTCCCATTCTGTTGGTTGCCTTTTAGTTTTGCTGATTGTTCCCTTCACTGTGCAGAAGCTTGTTATTTTGATGAGGTCCCAATAGTTCAATTTTGCTTTTGTTTCCCTTACCTCTGGAGACATGTTGAGTAAGAAGTTGCTGCGGCCAAGATCAAAGAGGTTTTTGCCTGCTTTCTCCTCAAGGATTTTGATGGCTTCCTGTCTTTCATTTAGATCTTCCATCCATTTTGAGTTTATTTGTGTGTGTGTTATAACAAAGTGGTCCAGGTTCATTTTTCTGCATGTTGCTGTCCAGTTTTCGCAGCACCACTTGCTGAAGAGACTGTTTTTATTCCATTGGATATTCTTTCCTGCTTTGTCAAAGATCAGTTGGCCATACGTTTGTAGGTCCATTTCTGGGTACTCTATTCTGTTCCATTGATCTGAGTGTCTGTTTTTATGCCAGTACCATACTGTCTTGATGATTACAGCTTTGTAATATAGCTTGAAGTCCGTAAAAAAAAATTTTTTTAAATAAGCTCTGTGCCCATCATGGGGTTTGAACTTATGACCCAAGATCAAGAGTCACATGCTCTACCAACAGAGCCAGCCAGGCACCACTGATTTGTTAATATTTTCTTAAGGATGTTTGCATCCTTCTTCATATATAGTCTTCTTGTAATGTCTTTTTCTTTTTTAAAAAAAAGTTTGTTTATTGGGGTGCCTGGATGGCTCAGTTGGTTAAGTGTATGACTTCAGCTCAGGTCATGATCTCACAGTTCATGGGTTTGAGCCCCGTGTCAGGCTCTGTGCTGACAGCTCAGGGCCTGGAGCCTGCTTCAGATTTCGTGCCTCCCTCCTCTCTCTGCCCCTCCCCCACTTGCTTTCTCTTAGTCTCTCAAAAATAAACATGTAAAAAAAATGTTTTTTAATATTTATTTATTTTGAGAGAGATAAAGTGCACAATTGGGAAAGGGCAGAGAGAGGGGGAGAGAGAATCCCAAGCAGTCTCCTCACTGTCAGCACAGAGCCTGACAAGGAGCTTAATCCCATGAACTATGAGATCATGACCTGAGCCAAAAACAAAAGTCGGACGCTTAACTGAATGAGCCACCCAGGCACCCCTCTTGTAATGTCTTTTTCAAGCTCTAGTGTGGGAATAATTCTGGCCTTTTAAAATGTGTTGGGAGGTATATCTTGTACTTCCATTTCCTGGAAATTAATGTAGATTTTTTTTTTCTCTCTAAATGTTTGGTATAATTCGCCAGTGAAGCCATCAGGGCCTGGAAATTCCTGTTTTAGGTTTTAAACTACATATTCAACTTCTTTAATACATACAATAATATTAAAATTATCTATTCTTTTTCATTTTAGAGAGAGAGTGCATGCACATGAGCAGGGAAGAGGGGCAGAGAGAGAATCTTAAGCAGGCTCCCAGGCTCAGCAGAGAGCCCAATACAGGGCTCAAACTCCAGATCCTGAGATCATGACCTGAGCCAAAATTAAGAGACAGACACTCAACTGACTGAGCCGCCCAGGTCCCCCTGGAAGGTATCTATTTCTTCTGAGTTGGTGTTTTTCAAAGAATTTGTCTAGTTCCTGATGGTTGTCAAATTTAGTAGCATAAAGTTGTTTCTATTATTCCTTTAGTATCCTAATACCTGTTAAGATCTAGAGTGATGTCACTTCTTATTCATGATATTAGTAATTTGGGCCTTCTTTTTTTATTTTGTAGTTAGTCTGGCTAAAGGATCCGTTTATTGATCTTTTTAAAGAATCAGCTTTTGGCTTCACTGATTTTCCCCTGCTGTGTTATTTTTCTATTTCATTGGTTTCTGATATTCTCTTTATTATTTCCTTCTTTGAGTTAAACTTGGTTTATTTTCTAGTTTCTTAGGTGGAAACAAATATAAATTGATTTGAGACCTTTCTTCTTTCCTTATGCAAACTATAGTGCGAAAAATTTCCTTCCAAACACTGCTTTTGCAGCAACCCAGTTTTTTTTTTAAGTTTATTTACTTATTTTTGGGAGAGAGAGAGAGAAGGTGCACGAGCATGAGTGGGGGAGAGGCAGAGACAGAGGGAGAGAATCCCAAGGAGGATCCATACTAGTGGGGATCAAATTCATGAACCGTAAGATCATGACCTAAGCTGAAATCAAGAGTTGGCACTTAACCGACTCAGCCACCCAGGTGCCCCACAGCAACCCAGTTTTTTCATGTTGTGTTTTCACTATCATTCAGTTAAAAACATTTCTAATTTCTTTATCATTTATTTTTTTCTACTCATGGTTTTGTGGTTATTCTTGTTTTTGGTCTTTGTTTTAGCATGGACTTGTTTAATTTTCAGATATTTGGGACTTTTCTAGATGTTTGATTTTTATTCATTTATAATTTAATTCTATTTAGTCAGAGAACACCCTCTGTCGGGTTTTAGTTTTGCTGTCTAGTTGTTCTGCTTTATGAGGCTATCTGGGGAGATTCAAAACTATGCTGCTACCTCCAGTTTCCCAATCATCTTCCTAACAATGTCTCCTTTCAAGATTTTCCCATCTGCAGTAGTCTAAATGCATTCAAAATAACCCAACTTACTATAATAAAATTACTCCATTAATTCAATTAATTCAATAATTAACTCAATAGGTTTCTGTTATGCTTTGAAATATGTTTCTTCAAGTGTAACTAGACATTAATGAATACTTACTGTTATTTGCAAGAGTAAGCCCAATAAATGAGCAAACAGGGCGAATTACCTCAGGTGTGATGCAGTTTATTAGCCAGTCATTAGCATGTGGAAAAAGTGAACAGCAAAGCATCTGATTTTCATCTGAAAGAAGACACAAAGTCACTTGTGTTTTAATATATTTGGAAAACATCAGTTCATTTGTTTTTATTTTATTTTAATATTTAAATATTTGAGATAATTACCATTTTGAGGATTGTTGACACAGACACATAAAGTACTACACACTGAAGACCATAACTGATAACTCTGGAAAACATTTTTATCTGACAAATTCAACTCATATTTTGAAAGAACTGTCCTATTTGGTTAAAAAAAAAAAGAAGCAAATTAATACAAATGAGTTAAAGTCTTAAGTAGTGAATAATAACAAGAAATTTATATTTATTTACCTGAACAACTGTGTCAGAACTGTAATACAACCTGTTTCTCTCACAAGTGTCTGTCCAGTCCCTTAAAAAAACAGCCATATTAGCACACAAATATGACTTTTGCTTATAAATAATTTTGTAGAGGGGCGCCTGGGTGGCTCAGTCGGTTAAGCGTCCGACTTCGGCTCAGGTCATGATCTCATGGTCCGTGACTTCGAGCCTCGCGTCGGGCTCTGTGCTGACAGTTCAGAGCCTAGAGCCTGTTTCGGATTCTGTGTCTCCCTTTCTCTGACCCTCCCCTGTTCATGCTCTGTCTCTCTCTGTCTCAAAAATAAATAAACGTTAAAAAAAATTTTTTTTAAAAATTTTGTAGAAATGAAAAACATTTAAGTAATATTTCTAATAAATAACTTTTAATCACTTTAAAGTAGTACTAAGTATAACAGAGAATTACAGTAGATAAAAATCTGTAATCACAACTATTATGGAAAATACATTACCTACGCTTATAGAATGACAGCATTCAAATTTCCTCCAAAAAAGAAACAAAATTTTAGCCACAAGCTACATGAAATTTTAGGCCATTGTTGGCTGATATAGTAAACACTGTAACTAAATGGCTAATTCAGTGGAAAATCAAACTAATCATCAAATGTCTCTTTTGCTTTTAAAGCTGTTCTTTTTTTAATGTTATTTAAGTAACACAAATCACTTTACTATTTATTAAAATTAATAAACATCAAACAATATATGCTATTCTCTTTTCTTTAAAGCTAGTAGTTCTCAGGGGCACCTGGGTGGTTCAGTCAGTTGAGTGTCTGACTTTGGCTCCGGTCATGATTTCTCAGTCCGTGAGTTAGGGCCCCGTGTCGGGTTCTGTGCTGACAGCTCAGAGCCCAGAGCCTGCTTTGGATTTTGTCTTCCTCTCTCTGCCCTCCCCCTGCTCACACTCTGTTCTTTCTGTCTCTTAAAAATAAATAAACGTTAAAAAAAAATTAAAAATAAATAAATAAATAAATAAATAAAGCTGGTAGTTCTCGGAAGTTAGTGAGATATTTTAAAAGACACTGATATAAAAGGAACAACTATTTCAATTTATTATTTTTAAATGTTTCTGCAACATACAAGAATGTACTTACTATTATTTGAAACCAGCACCAATATGACATAGACAGACATTCTTTTCAAATTTGTGTTTGAATCATTATTAGATAAGAACCAAGTTAAGTCTTCAAACAATTCTGAAGTGCACAAAGTCTGCTGACAGTAAACTGAAAAATAAAAAAAATATAATTTCAATTTCTATGCATTAGCACAAGTTGTAAGTATGCTAAACAAAATATAAAGTTGCCGACTGGGTGGCTCAGTCAGTTGAGCGTCTGACTTCAGCTCAGGTCGTGATCTCACAGCTCATGCGTTTGAGCCCTGTGTCGGGCTCTGTGCTGAGAGCTCAGAGCCTGGAGCCTGCTTCAGATTCTGTGTCTCCCTCTCTCTCCTCCCCTAACCCACTCACATTCTGTCTCTGTCTCTCGCAAAAATAAATAAATCATTTTTTTAATGAAAAAAAAAAATTTTTTTTAATGTTTATTTATTTTTGAGACAGAGAGAGACAGAGCATGAACAGGGGAGGGTCAGAGAGAGAGGGAGACATAGAATCTGAAGCAGGCTCCAGGCTCTGAGCTGTCAGCACAGAGCCTGACGCGGGGCTCGAACTCACGGACCGTGAGATCATGACCTGAGCTGAAGTCGGACGCCCAACCGACTGAGCCACCCAGGCGCCCCAAAATAAATAAATCATTAAAAAAATTTTTTTAAAAAGCAGTATCTTAATCAGAAGTATACTTGATTGAGGTGCTACAACATGTGCACAATCCCTTAGAATTTCTAATAAAAACCTAACTAAAAAAAAATTAAAACATAAAAAAAAAATTTAAGATGAGTAAGTAACAAAACATAGCAAGAGAAAACTTTTATTTTTTATTTTTTATTTTTTTTTTTTAATTTTTTTTTTCAACATTTTTTATTTATTTTTGGGACAGAGAGAGACAGAGGATGAACGGGGGAGGGGCAGAGAGAGAGGGAGACACAGAATCGGAAACAGGCTCCAGGCTCTGAGCCATCAGCCCAGAGCCTGACGCGGGGCTCGAACTCACGGACCGTGAGATCGTGACCTGGCTGAAGTCGGACGCTTAACCGACTGCGCCACCCAGGCGCCCCAAGAGAAAACTTTTAGAAAATTCATAAACCTGCTTTAGAAAATAGAGACAAATGATACTTGTGCTATTAAGGACTTTCTAAAAATAAAAATATCTTTCCAAAAAGCAAACATGATACCTGACAGTAGGTGTGTGTATATGTGTATGTGTGTGTGTGCGTTATAATAATGCAATAAACAGAATTTTCAAAAAATAATTTGAGGGGTGCCTGGGTGGCTCAGTCAGTTAAGCATCCGACTTTGGCTCAGGTCATGAACTCATGGTTCGTGGGTTTGAGTCCCGCGTTGGGCTCTGTGCTGACAGTGTGGTGCCTGGAGCCTGCCTCAGATTCTGAGTCTCCCTCTCTCTCTTCCCTCCCCCGCTCATGCTCTCTCTCTCTCAAAAATAAATAAACATTAAAAAATTTTTGTTTGAATAATAATTTGAGGGGGCACCTGGCTGGCTCAGTCTGAAGAGCATGTGATCCTTGATCTTGGGGTTGTGAGTTTGAGGGTATATAAATTATTAAAAAAAATAAACTTTAAAAAAATAAAATCTTTAAAAAGGTAATAATTTGAACACAGAGGTATAATTAGTATTTGATCCAGTATTTAGAACCAGCTATTGGACATTCTCTCAAAGGCAAAGACAATGTCTTATTTATCCCAATGACTAGCACATAGCTTGGTTCTTACCAAATGATGAAGAAATATTTAATGGATGAAAATTTAAGGATAGAAAGTTGTTTGACAAACTAAAACTTGAGATTCAACTTCATCTTGGCTATACTACAGAAAAATGTTTTGACCAACATGAATTTCTATACCTAGAGTATATTTTTCTATACACAAGATGTTGTAGGTTATCTTCGTCTTTTGATTCAAGTACTTAGATATATAATGAACTTAAAAGAAAAATCAAAGATACATATATGCATATGCAAATTCATGAAGTACAAATAGTATCTTAAATCAATGTGAAAAAGATCTTTTTTTAATGTTTATTTTTTGAGAGACAGCCAGAGCATGAGTGGGGGAGGGGCAGAGAGAGAGAAAGAGAGAGAGAAACAATCTGAAGCAGTCTCCAGGATCTGAGCTGTCAGCGCAGAGCCCGACATGGGGCTTGAGCTCATGAACCGCGAGATCATGACCTGAGCTAAAGTCAGACACTTAACTGACTGAGCCACTCAGATACCCCGAAGTTTCTTTATTTAAAGAGAGAGAGAAAGAATGCATGTGGGGGAGGGGACAGAGAGAGGGAGAGAGAGATAATCCCAAGGAGACTCCACACTGTCAGTGCAGAGCCCAATGCAGGGCTCAAACTCAGGAACTGGGAGATCATGACCTGAGCCAAAGTTGGATGCTTAACCAACTGAACCACCCAGGCACCCCTAAAATTACTTTTTAGTAGTCTGTTAAAATATAACACGATGCTTGAAGGATAATGAAAAAAAGTTTTCATATTTTACCATTTTGTTCTGCAACAGCTCCTAATGTATATAAGGCTGCTTCTTTTACCATGCTATGTTCACTTGACTTTGCAAGATTTCTTACAAACATCAAACCACCAATTTCTCGAAAGTAAACACCTGCATTACCTACAAGATGTGCAGACAAAACAGAACATAAATGATACTATGATTCTTTTAAGGAGAAAATAAATCACATGAATATAGTAACATAACAAGTAGAGTGAGTTGAAGAAAAAGAGCTATGCATATTTCATATTTCAAAATACTAAAGAACTACAATCACAGATAAAACTTCACTATCACATCTTACTGTTTTGTTGACAAATTGAATGAATAGTGACCAAAGCTTCCTTTTGTGAAAAAGGGTTGTCCATTTGATACTTCAGACACTCCAATAGTAAGTTCAGATCAGTCTTCATTTCTAAAGAACAAAAATTTCACTTTTTTAAACCAAGTGTTATCTTTCAAAAACTAACCATTTAAATTTCACTTTTTAAATTTCACTTTTTAAATACATATATTTATGATGTCTGTTTTCAAGATAATGAGTACATATTCCTTTTATAATCTATCCAACAGTAAAGATAAAAAAAAAAAAAAAAGAAAGATGTTGCTTAAATAAAAGTACTTGAAATGAACTTCTTGTAATTATTTGATTTTCCTCTCACATGAAATATAAGAATAGAAAATCCATGGGGTGCTTGGGCGGCTCAGTCAGTTAAGCATCCAACTTAGCTCAGGTTGTGATCTTGCAGTTTGTGAGTTCAAGCCCCGCGCAGACTCTGTGCTGACAGCTCAGAGCCCAGAGCCTGCTCCGGATTCTGTGTCTCCCTCTCTCTCTCTCTCAAAAACAAATAAAACATTAAAAAAATTTTTTTGAAGAACAGAAAATCCAAATGCAGTATTATTCTCTTTAAATAAAGCTACACTGGTTTAAATATCTGCCATTTAGAAATAAAGTGAATGAAAATGAAAATACAACATATTAGAATTTGTGGGATGCTACCAACAGTATTTGAGAGGAAATTTACAACACTAAATGTTTATATTATAAAAGAAGAAAGGTCTCAAATTAATGACCTCAGCTTCAACCTTAAGAAACTATAAAAACAGTAAATTAAACCCAAAGTAAGTAGAAGGAAGGTAATAAAGATCAAAGCTAAAATCAATGATACTGAAAGCAGGAAAACAATACAACTGGTTTTTGAGAAGATCAATAAAACTGATAAACCTCTAGACAAACTGATCAGGAGAAAGGAGCAAAGACACAAACTACAAATATCAGAATGAGAGATAAGGCACCATCATAGATTCTATAAATATTCAAAAGATAATGTTATGTGCAACTTCATATCTATAGATTCAATGGCTGAATGGTGAAGTGGACAAGTGAAATTAACAAATTGCTTTGAAGATACAAATTATCTCACCCAAGAAGAAACAGACAACCTAAATAGTACTACATCTATAAAAGAAATTGAAGGGGCGCCTGGGTGGCGCAGTCGGTTAAGCGTCCAACTTCAGCCAGGTCATGATCTCGCGGTCCGTGAGTTCGGGCCCCGCGTCAGGCTCTGGGCTGATGGCTCGGAGCCTGGAGCCTGTTTCTGATTCTGTGTCTCCCTCTCTCTCTGCCCCTCCCCCGTTCATGCTCTGTCTCTCTCTGTCCCAAATATAAATAAATGTTGAAAAAGAAATTAAAAAAAAATAATAATAAAAGAAATTGAAATCGTAGTTTAAAAACCTTCCTGTGAAGAAACCTCCAAGTTCAGATGGCTTCATTTGTAAACTCTCCCAAATGTTTAAGGAAGAAGTAATATCAACTCTACACAAACTTTCCCCAAAAGTTTGGAGAGAAGGAACGCTTCCCAACTTGCTCTATGAGGTTAGCCTTATCCTTATACCGAAACCAAAGCCATTAGAAAGGAAAAAAAACTACAGACCAATATCCTTCATGAACATTCATGTAAAAAGTCTAAACAATTTTAGCAAACCGAATCTAACAACATATTAAATAATAATACATCATGAACAAGTGGGTTTATCCTAAGAATGCATAGTTGGTTAAGATTTGAAAAATCAATTGATGTAATGTGATAAACTAACATGGAAAGCCATATGATCACCTCAATGAGGTGCAGAATAAGCACCTGCAGAAATCAAAGCACCTGCATTTTATCAAATGCAGAAAAAGCATTTGATAAAATCCAACACTCATTTCTAGTTAAAAAAAATTTCAGCAAACTTGGAATAGAAGAAAAACTCCTCAACCTGAAAAAGTATATCCACAAAAACAAAACAAAACAAAACAAAAGCCCTATAGTAAACATAATACTTAATAGAGAAAGACTGAATTCTTTCTCTCTGAGATCAGGAATAAGACAGAGATGTTTAACATTATACTGGGGAGTGTATCATTCTATTTAGCATTCCTCTTAATATTGTACTAGAGAACCTAGCCAGTGCCATCAAGTGAGAAAGAAATAAAAGGCATTCAAATTGGTAAGAAGGTAGTAAAACTATCTGCCTTCATGTGCAACATGATCTTCTATATAGATAACCCGATGGAATCTACAAAAAAGCTACAAGACTAATAATGGAGTATAGTAGGATTTCAGCATATCCATTTAACATACAGAAATCAATTATATTTCTATGTCCCTGCGGTAAAGTAATTGAAAATTGGTGTTTAAAAACAATGCCATTTATAATAGTATCAAAAATATGAAATATTTAGAGATATACCTAACAAAAGATATAAACAACATGTATACTAAAACCTCAAAAATATTGCTGAGAATTATTAAACAAGACTGAAATAAAGGGAGTGAAACACCTTTTTCATGGACTGGAGGACTAAATATTAAGATGTCAATTCCCCCATATTGATCTATAGATTCAATTTAATCCCAGCAGACTTTTTAAAAATATGAATTGACAAGATGAACCCCAAATTCATATGGAAATGCAAGGGACCTATTAGCCAAACAATTCTGAAAAAGAAGAATAAAGCTTGAAGACTAAAACTATCTGATTTCAAGACTTCTTATAAAGCTACAGTAATCAAAAGAGTATAGTATTGTATTAGCATACACAAATAGATCAATAAACTAGAATGCAGCCCAAAAATAAACTCATGCATATATGAATAGCTGATTTTTTACAAAGGCACAAATGCAATGCAGAGAAGAAAGGAAAGCCTTTCCAACAAATGATGCTATAACAAACAGATATCTGTATTCAAAAACATAACAAACCAAACTTGAATCAAACCGTATACAAAAAGTAACTCAAAAGGGATTCAGATGTAATGTAAAATATGGAACTATAAAACTTTTAAAAGATAACACAGGAGAAAAACTTTGCTACTTGGGCTTACATGAAAATTTCTTAGACACAGTATTATTAATACAATCTGTAGAAAAATAATGAATAAATTATATTTCATCAAAATTTAAAACTTCATTCTCTTAGCAGTATTTTCCTTTTAAAAAAAATTAATGTATTTATTTCTGGGGGAGAGAGACAGAGAGAAAGAGAGAGACAGAGCACAAGCAGGGGAGGGGCAGACAGAAAGGAGAACACAGAAACTGAAGCAGGTTCCAGGCTCCGAGCTGTCAGCACAGAGCCCAAAGCAGGGCTCAAGGATGCAATATTTGGCAAGGATGCAAAAGAAGTGGAACTCTCATATATTGCTGGTGGATACATAAAATGGTACAGCCACTTTGAAAGTTCAGCAGTTTCATAAATTGTTAAACATACACCTACCATTTGATCCAGCCATTTCACTCCTAAGAATTTACCCAAAAGGAAAGCAGGTTATGTGTCCCTACAAAGACTTGTACACAAATGTTCATGGCAGCATTGTATGTAATAGCCAAAAACTGAAAACAACTGAAATGTCCATCAACAGATGAATGGATAAACAAATGACCATAAAATGGAATACTACTTAGCAATAAAAAGGAATTAACTATTGATATACACAACAACATGGATGAATCGCAAAATAATTACGCTGAGGGAAAGAAACCACACACAAAGAATATGTACTGTATTATTCCATGTACTGAAAAAAAAATTAAACTACTCTATAGTAACAGAAGGCAGATCAGTGGTCGTTTGGGGAAAGTGGGTCAAGGAAGGGACGAAAAGAAGTATTATAAAGGTGCATGAGGCTATATTCCCTATCCTGATTGTTGCTACTGTTTGCATGGATGTGTGTGTGTGTGTGTGTGTGTGTGTGTGTGTGTGTGTGTGACTTATCAAAATATAAACTTGAAATATTTATTTGCAACTAAAAATGAAAGATAATCATTTTCCCATAAAATTTTTTACCATACCCTTTAAACAATTTCTTCCCTTGGTTTTAAGGATTTTAAGTTGTATGTAGATTTTGACATAATGCTTGAATTAACATTTAAAGTTCTCAAAGATAGGGGCACCTGGGTGGCTCAAGTTGGTTAAGTGTCCAACTTTGGCTCAGGTCATGATCTCACGGTTCATGGGTTCAAGCCCCGGGTCGGGCTCTGTGCTGACAGCTCAGAACCTAGAGCCTGCTTCAGATTCTGTGTCTCCCTCTCTCTTTGCCCCTCCCCCGCTCATGCTCGCTCACGTGCTAAGTAAAATAAAAACATTAAATAAAATTTTAATAGAAAAATTTTTTTCAAAAAAAAAATAAAGCTTTCAAAGATAAAGAATGAAGACAGGACAGAAGTACAGAGGAACACACTAAAAGAAACTTAGATTTATTGTCAATATTTAGTCTTCCTCTTAAAGGAAATTCAACTGACAATTTGGTTTAATGAAATAATTCATGACCCAATTTGTTAGTGAAAAACCATAATACAAAGGTTATCACTAAGTTGTCTTGAAGCAACAGCAATCATTTATTGATCTTATTCTACATTAATAGAAACTGTAAAAAGGTTAGCTTGCCTGTATGGGTTATCAATAAACCTCTCATCAGCAACAACATGCCAAACAGGATTTTTGATGGAACATAGTGATTTTCAATTCTAGGCACAACTGAAGAAAACAAGAAACTTCTTTATGTATTCCTCTATTCTCTCCTATACTCCCCTCTCATATTTTGATACTTTCTATTATAATCCCTCCCTTCCCAAAGCACCTAATGACATCAACAATTCAAGTTTTATCTTCCCCAGGCTATGAAACCTAGTTTCTTCAATAATTCCTGAAGAAAATAAACAAAAACTCAAGAATATACACAAAAGCACAAGCAATAAAAGAACACTGGATAAATTGGACTTAAAATTGAAATTTTTTGAGCTTCAAAAGATATCATTAAGAATGTGAAAAGAGGGGCGCCTGGGTGGCGCAGTCGGTTAAGCGTCCGACTTCAGCCAGGTCACGATCTCGCGGTCCGTGAGTTCGAGCCCCGCATCAGGCTCTGGGCTGATGGCTCAGAGCCTGGAGCCTGTTTCACATTCTGTGTCTCCCTCTCTCTCTGCCCCTCCCCTGTTCATGCTCTGTCTCTCTCTGTCCCAAAAATAAATAAACGTTGAAAAAAAAAAATTAAAAAAAAAAAAAAAAGAATGTGAAAAGATAATTCACATATAAGGAAGGGAAGAATATACCTATAAATAAGGTATCTGATAAGGGGCTTGTGTTCATAACATATAAAGAACTCTAAAACCTCAATAATAAAAAGATAATCCAATTAAAAAGCAAAGAATGGACATTTCTCCAAAAAAGATACACAAATGGTCAATTAAGTATATGAAAAGATGCTCAACAGCATTAGTCATTAAGGAAATACAAACCAGAACCACAATTAGAAACCACTTCACATCCACTAGGATGGCTACAATCGAAAAGACAGATTATGTCAAGTGTTGACCAAGGATCTGAAGAAATTGGGGCCCTTATACATTGCTGCAGGAATATAAAATGGTACAGCCACTTTGGCAAAAATCTGGCAATTCCTCAAAAGGCTAAACATAAATTTACCATAGACTCAGCAATTCTACTACCAAATATATACCCAAGAGAAATGAAAACCTATGGCACACAAAAACTTACACATGAACATTCATAGCAGCATTACTTGTAACTGCCAAACAGTGGAAACCCAAATTTCCACCAACTCTTAAATGGATAAACAAAATATGATATATCCATTCAATGAAATATTATTTGGCAATAAAAAGGAATGAAGATACTGGTACAACTTGAATAATTCTTGAAAATATTACACTAAGGGGCGCCTGGGTGGCTCAGTTGGTTAAGCATCCGACTTCGGCTCAGGTCACGATCTCACTGTCTGTGACTTTGAGCCCCGCGTCGGGCTCTGTGCTGACTGCTCAGAGCCTGGAGCCTGTTTCAGATTCTGTGTCTCCCTCTCTCTCTGACCCTCCCCCGTTCATGCCCTGTCTCTCTCTGTCTCAAAAATAAATAAACGTTAAAAAAAAATTTAAAAAAAAGAAAGAAAGAAAATATTACACTAAGTGAAGGAAGCCAGTCACAAAAGCCCACATATTCTATGATTCAATTTATATGTCCAGAATAGGCAAGTCCAGAGACAGAAAATAGATTAGTGATTGCCTACAGTTGGGAGGGGGGTGTGATTGCTAAAGGGCATAGGGTTTCTTTGGGGGTGATAAAAATGTTCTAAAATTGATTGTGGTGATGGTTGCACAACTGTGAATATATTTAAAATAACTGAATTGTATACTTTGGTTGTTTTTCTTTTAATGTTTATTCATTTATTTTGAGGGGTGGGAAGAGGGGCAGCAAGACAGGAAGAGAGGCCCAAGGAGACTCTGTGCTAACAGCGCAGAGCTTGATATGGGGCTCGATCCTATGAATCGAACCATAAGATCATGACCTGAGCCAAAATCAAGAGTTGGATATTTAACCAACTGAGCCACCCAGGCACCTCTCTTCAGTCAAGCTTTTAAGATGAGTTAGGTATTGGGGCACCTGGGTGGCTCAGTCGGTTGGGCAAAAAACACTAAATTTTAGCTCAGATCATGATCTCAAGGTTCATGAGATCAAGCCCAACATCAGGCTCTATGAGCCAGCTTGGAATTCTCTCTCCCTCTCTCTCTGCCCCTCCCCTTGCACATACTCTCTCTCTCTCTCTCTTTCTCTCAAAATAAATAAACTTTAAAAAAAAGAAAAAAAAAGAGTTAGGTATTCATAATGTCTCCAGATCCTTATTTCCCACCTAAACGTCAATATACTGCAATCGGGCTGAAATATATTAAATGTACTGTTTTTTTTAAGTTTATCTATTTATTTTGAGAGAGAGAGAGAAAGAGGGGGGTACAGAAGGGGCAGAGGGGATGGGGGAGAGAGAGAATTTCAAACAGGCTCCACACTGGCAGTGCAGAGCGTGACACGGGGCTCAAACCCACGAACCGTGAGATCATGACCTGAGACAAAACCAAGAGTTGGATGCTTAACCAACTGAGCCACTCAGGCACCCCTACTAAATTGACTATTAATAAAACAAATGGCCTCCTAAATACAAAATCTAGCGGACAATTCAGTCATCATCTATGGACACTTGACACTGAATAGCTCAAGCAATCTCTCTCATGGAAGTATTCTCCTAAAGCTGATTTCCAAAATTCCACATTCCTGACTCTCCATTCACCTTCCTGAAAAGTTTTTCTCACACTATAGATTTGAAGGGGTATGTGCACCCCACCAATGTTTACAGCAGCATTATCAACAATAGCTATCAAACTATGGAGAGAGCCCAAATGTCTATCAACTGATAAATGGATAAAAAAGATGTGGCATATATATAATGGAACATTACTTAACCATCAAAAAAAAAAAAAAAGAAATCTTGTCATGTGTAACATCTTGGATGGAGCTAGACAGAATGTATTATGCTAAGTAAAATAAATCAATCAGAGAAAGACAAATATATGATTCCACTCATATGTGGAATTTAAAAAGCAAAACAGATGAACATATGAGGGAGGGAGGAGAAGAAAGGGAAACACACCACAAGAGACTTAACGATAGAGAACTGAGGGTTGATGGAGGGAGTTGCATAGGAGATGGGCTGGATGCGTGAGGAGGATTAAGTGGGGCACTTGTGATGAGTAATGGGTATTGTATGTAAGTAATGAATCACTGAATTCTACTTCTGAAACCAATACTGCACTGCATATTAACTAACTAAAATAGGGGTGCCTGGGTGGTTCAGTAGGTTAAGTGTCCAACTTCGGCTCAGGTCATGATCTCATGGTTCATAGGTTCGAGCCCCAGGTCAGGCTCTGTGCTAACAGCTCAGAACCTGGAGCCCGCTTCGGATTTTGTGTATTCCTCTCTCTCTGCCCCTCTTCCACTTGTGCTCACTCTCTCTAAATTAAACATTAAAAAAATTTAATTAACTAGGGGTGCCTGGGTGGTTCAGTCGGTTAAGCATTCAAGTTCGGCTCAGATTATGATCTCACAGTTTGAGTTCGAGTCCCACGTCAGGCTCTGTGCTGACAGCTGAGAGCCTGGAACCTGCTTTGGATTCTGTGTCTCCTCCTCTCTCTGACCCTCCCCTGCTCATGCTCTGTCTCTCAATAATAAATAAAAGTTAAAAAATATTTTTAAAAAATTTAATTAACTAAAATATAAAAAATTAAAAAAAAATACATAAATGTTTTGGGATGCCTGGGTGGCTCAGTCAGTTAAGCATCTGACTTCAGCTCAGATCATGATCTCACAGTTTGTGAGTTCAAGCCCGTGTTGGGCTCTGTGCTGACAGCTCAGAGCCCTGGAGCCAGCTTCTGATTCTGTGTCTCCCTTTCTCTCTCTACTCCTTCACCTTTCACGCTCTATCTCTCTCTCTTTCTCTTTCAAAAATAAACAAATGTTAAAAAAAAAAAAAAGAAATGTTTTTCTCAGTCTTTTTTTGAGGGCCCTCTTCCTCAGCCAAATTCTTATGTGATGGTGTGCATTAAGGAACACCATTCCCCATCCTTTTCTTCTTTTAATATTTAATATTTCTGATTAACCTCCTCCATGTCCATGGATTTAATTTCCATCTTTCAAAGGACAACTCTAAAATCTATACCTCCATGCATACTGTCATGGTGGTTCTCTCAGATTCCCAGTATTCTTGTCTATGTCTCTATTAAAATGGCTATCAGGGGCACCTGGGTGGCGCAGTCGGTTAAGCGTCTGACTTCAGCCAGGTCACGATCTCGCGGTCCGTGGGTTCGTGTCCCGCGTCAGGCTCTGGGCTGATGGCTCGGAGCCTGGAGCCTGTTTCCGATTCTGTGTCTCCCTCTCTCTCTGCCCCTCCCCCATTCATGCTCTGTCTCTCTCTGTCCCAAAAATAAATAAAAAACGTTGGAAAAAAATAAAATAAAATAAAATAAAATAAAATAAAATAAAATAAAATAA